AGGATGGTCTCGATCTCCTGACCTCGTGATCCGCCCGTCTCGGCCTCCCAAAGTGCTGGGATTACAGGCTTGAGCCACCGCGCCCGGCCGTCTTAATTTTTAATGCACAAAAAATGATGTGCATTAAAGGGATGGGCTGTTTAAAGGGATGATGTGACAAATCATTTTGAAAGAATCAGTGCTAAATCCTTCTAACAGGAAAAGGTTTTTGGCTGGGTGTGGTGGCTCAAGCCTGTAATCCCAGCATTTTAGGAGGCCGAGGCGAGTGGATCATTTGAGGTCAGGAGTTCGAGACCAGCCTGACCAACATGATGAAATCACCACCTGGGTTCAAGCAATTTTCTTCGCTCCAGAGTGGTAGGCCTGGGACTACAGGCCACCTGCCCACTCACGCCTACCTAAATTCTTCATATTTTCAGTAGAAGATGGGTTTCACCCATTTTGGCCAGGCGCTAGCTCCGCTCACAACCTCCTCGACCTCCAGGGTTGGACTCTGCCGTGTCGTTGGGCCTGCCCCGAAAGTGATTGTGGGATTACAAGGCGATAGAACGCCAATGACGCCCAGCCCTTCTTTTGATTGCATCTATCAGGGTCACGACCTAGCCGTACTCTCACTGGTATTTTGTCCCAGCTTTCTCCCTGATCCAAAAGTAGTTTGGCAAACTCCATAATAGAAAACCTTTTGCGGGGGGCTCAATCAGCCCTGTAATGCCCCGACCAACGAATTTTGGCGGAGGCCAAGCCGCGGGTTGACTCAACCTGAGGTCAGGACGCGTTCGTTTAGCATCACAGCGCTGGCCAACATGGTCGAAACCCCGCTCTAGACTAAAGAAGTAGAAAAATTAGCCAGGTCATGGGCTGGCTAGGCGGCGGTTCCCCTGTAACTCACCAGCTACCTGCCAGGAGACCGCCGCGCCTGACGCGGAGCCGCAGCCCGCGCTCGAGAATCGCCCTTGAGCCTGGCAGGCCTGGAAGGGTTGGCAGCTTGGAGGGCAAAGATCATGCCACTGCACCGTTCAACGCGCTAACCCAGTGACAACAGAAAGACCTGTCTCACAACAAAAACACCAAAAAGCCCCACTTTTGGTACCTGGTATGCCCTCTAAAGAGCGATTTGGTCAGGCGAAATACAATGGCCTTAAACCAAAGGAGTGATGGCAATCTGGTGTATGGACGAATTTTAGGCATTGATGGGTGGATCTCTGTACTTTTGGGGTGGTGGATTGCTCTTGGTTGGCTGTCTACTGTCTCTCAAGTAACCAGTTAATTAGAGGCAGTTACTGGTTTTACCGTACAGTTAACATGTCCCACGTCTAATAGCTTACTTGAAGACCCTCCTCCTGACCAACCTATAGCATCTACATCAGCTAGTACCAATGAGAGAGCTATTTAACCACGGAGAAGACTTGTAGGGGGTTGTTTTACTTTAAGGGGAAACTTTTATACATAAAACCTTTATCTTTTTTTTTTTTTCCCCGCTCCTAGAGAGCAATGCGAGTCTTGGCTCTGTTTTGCCACCAGATGGATATAGTGGCACAATTCTCGGGCGTCACTGCAACCCTCCACCCTCCCTGGTTTCAAGCAAATTATCCTGCCTCAGCTTCCTGAGTGCTGAAAGATACAGCACGCACCCACACCGCCCTAATTGTTTTTACTTTTTACGTAGAGACGGA